GTCAGACAGAACAGAGAGGAGCAGACCCCAGGATGGGATGCTGGCAACATTCGACATGCATTTATGGAGCTCCTGCTGTGTGCCAGGCCTGTGCCAGGCCTGGAGCCCCTCCTTGAGCAAAGCAGATAAAATCCCTGCTTCCGCCAGCCCATGGCTCACGCCTGTAATCCTAGCACTCTGGGAGGCCAAGGCGGGCGGATCGCTCGAAGTCAGGAGTTCGAAGCCAGCCTAAGCAAGAGCGAGACCCGCTTCTACTATAAATAGAAAGAAATGAATGGCCAACTAATATATACAGAAAAATGAGCCGGGCATGGTGGCGCATGCTGTAGTCCAGTTACTTTGGGAGCTGGGGCAGAAGGATTGTTGAGGCCCAGGAGATTGAGGTTGCTGTGAGCTAGGCTGACACCATGGCACTCTAGCCTGGGCAACAGAGCAAGAGTCTATCTCAAAAAAAAAAAAAAAAAAAGATAGTATCAGAGTGTCAGGTTTCACTGATTTATTTAAGAGCACAAAATATACTTTTATTATGGTAAAATACATAGGACATACAATTCACCATTTTGACCATTTTATTTATTTTATTTGTTTTCCATCTTCTCAGAGCAAGGAATTTGACCATTTAAAAGTGTACAGTTCATGGCCTGTGATATTCACAGGTGTTGCAGCCATCACCTCTATCTAGTGCAAAAAGTTGTCATCACCCTAAAGGAGACCCCATATCCTTAAGCAATCACTCCCGTTTCCCCACACCCCTTCCCACCCCAGCCCAAGAAACCACTCATTTGCTATCTGTAGGGATTTGCCTGTTCTGGATATTTCCTACAACAGAATCTAATGATATGAGATGATATTTTTAAATAAACCTTTCATGGATGTTAACATACATACAGGGAAAAAATGCATACACATCATCAATGTATTTGACCTTTAAAAGAGCAAAGAAAAAATAAATAAAGAAAAACATCGTCAATGTAGGGCTCGATGATTTTTCCCAAAGGGAACCCTTAGTCTAACTAACATTCACACCCAGATCACAGCATTTCTTGTCTCCAGAGGCCCTCCTGGTAGTTCCTTCCCACCAACCACCGCGTTCTGATTTCTCTCCCCATAGATTGGGTTAGCTTGTTTTTGAACTTTAAATAAATGAGTCACGCAGCCACTATGTGTGAGTGGCACCCGATTCCGATCAACCTTGGTCTGTGTGTGAGTTTGCTCGGGCTGCCACAGCCAAGTTCCACTGCGTGGCTTACACAACACACACTTATCTTCCAGGGTTCTGGAGCTAGAAGGTGAAGATCAAAGTGCCAGCAGGGTTGGTGGCTCTGAGGCCCCCTCCTTGGCTTGCAGATGGCCATCTCTTCCCTGTGTCCTCACATGGCTGTCCTCTGTGTGTGTGCCTATGTCCAATCTCTTCTTTGTTTTTTTATTTTTATTTATTTTTTTTTTTTTTGAGACTGAGTCTCACTTTGTTGCCAGGCTAGAGTGAGTGCGCTGGCATCAGCCTAGCTCACAGCAACCTCAAACTCCTGGGCTCAAGGATCCTCCTGCCTCAGCCTCCAAGTAGGCTGGACTACAGGCATGCGCACCACCACCCGGCTAATTTTTCTATATATATTAGTTGGCCAATTAATTTCTTTCTATTTATAGTAGAGACAGGGTCTCGCTCTTGCTCAGGCTGGTTTCGAACTCCTGACCTCGAGCAATCCTCCCGCCTTGGCCTCCCAGAGTGCTAGGATTACAGGCATGAGCCACCACGCCCGGCCCTAATCTCTTCTTATAAGAACACCAGTCAGACTGGATTAGGGCCCACCCTAATGACCTCGTGCCAACTTCATCTCCTCTCTAAAGACCCCATGTCCAAATACAGCCACATTCTTAGGTGCGTGGGGGTGGGGATAGGACATCAACATATGATGTCCTAACATATGATGGGGGTGGGACACAGTTCGGCCCACAACAGTCAGTTTGTGAGATCTATCCATATTGTTATTGAGGGGTTAGGAATGCTAGTGGGGAGGCCCGTGTGGTGGCTATTGCAGTCATCCAGGTGGGGGATGCTGGGACGTTCCATCCAAGGGTTGGTGGAGACGCTGAAAGGTGGGCAGAGTCAAGGGATGTTTCAGAAGTAGAATCCAGGCCGGGCGCGGTGGCTCACGCCTGTAATCCTAGCACTCTGGGAGGCCAAGGCGAGCGGATTGCTACAGGTCAGGAGTTCGAAACCAGCCTGAGCAAGAGCAAGACCCTATGTCTACTATAAATAGAAAGAAATTAATTGGCACTGCAATCTATATAGAAAAAATTAGCCGGGCTGGTGCGGCACATGCCTGTAGTCCTAGCTACGGGAGGCTGAGGGCGAAGGATGCTTGAGCCCAGGAGTTGAGGTTGCTGTGAGCTAGGCTGATGCCATGGCACTCACTCTAGCCTGGGCAACAAAGTGAGACTCTGTCTCAAAAAAAATAAAAGGAAATAGAATCCACAGGGCATCAATATATCACAGGTCCACCATTAGCCCATAGTGCACCTTTATGTAAATATTTTTTAAAAGGCACCCCACTCCTTCCTTAAGAAATTTTTTACTTTTATATATAAGATGGAACATGGTCCTAGTAAATTTAAAATGTCAAAACCATCTTCCTTGATGTAAACAGGTACATGCTAAGGAAAAAATAAATAAATAAACATCTTCCTGTGGGTTGTTGCCCTGGTGAAAAAGTAAAATAAAAACTAGATAAAACTAAATAAAAATTAATAATAAAAAAATTCCTAGAGCTGGGCTTGATGTGCTGCCTGCACAGTGCACAACTTCAGCAACTGTTCAGAGCTTCCTTATGAATGGGGTCAGAAAGATGGAACAAATTGTCAAACTCAAGAAAATGGAGCTGGAGACAGGGAGATCAACATAAAGAAGATAGATGGGGAGGAAGAGAAGGGACAGTCTTCTCCTGGGATGGCAGACAGGAGAGGAGTCCTTTGTGGTCACCCAGCTAATGTCTGTCTTGCAGGCAGTTCAGCAAGATTGAGGCCGCCACCCAGCGCCTGGCCCTGTCCATCCTGTCCCAGGAGGCACCTCCCCAGAGACCGCCACTGCAGAAGCCGCCCCTGCCGCCACCATCCCCCTTCCTGGGGGTGGCCTGCGCTGTGGCCCCCACCGAGGCACCCCATGCCAGTGCCAGCCTGAGCCTCGCTGCCCTGGATGCCTCCACCCTCGACCTCTTTGATGACATCGCGCCCACCCCAGAGTGTTCCCCAATGCCATCTTACCCCTCCTCGTGTCCTCTGACCACTGGCGCATCCCTGCTGACATCAGACCTGTCCTATCTCACTCTGGACCAGCAGGACCTGAGGCAGGCCCCACATTTCTGCCATCTCCTGCCCCCTCACCAGCATGCCCTGGGGGGAGGGGCGGGGCTCCTGGCTCAGGACTGGGGCTGGGGGGACAGGCAGGAGGTGCCCCGTGCCTGGGATTCTCAGGGGGTGCCTGAGGGCTGGGGGCCCTACTCCCTGTGACGCTCAACCACAACCCAGCCCAGGCTCCAGACAGACCAGAGGCCCCTCCATGATGGCTCTCCAGCCCCCTCCCCGGGAGTCCCCTGACCCTTCCTGGTATCCCCTGAGAAAATAAACCAAGCCCAGACCCCACTGCAGACCACCACCTCAGGGGTCTTCTCCCAGCGTCAGCGCCCCTACCTCTGCCTCTCCTGGGGCCCCTCACTCTTGGTCCCCCCCCACCCACCGCTTCTCCCTTCCTTCTTCCCAGCCGGGTCCAACACCTGTCTGCCCCTCTCCCTGGCCTATTCCTGCCTAATGTCTGGTCTCGACTGATTTCTTCCCAAAGATTTATTGAGCACTTACTGTGGGCCGGGCCTAGGTCCAGGGGTTGAGGATTCAGCAGTGACCAAGGCAGACAAGATTCCTGCTCTTACTGAACTCACTTTGTGTGTGCGTGTGTGTTGGGGGTAGGGGATGAGGGTTGACAATAAATTAGTACACCCATACATTTTTTCAAAAAGCAAGATAAATTTCGAATTTCAGCTAGGAATTAATACTGTGGAAAAATAAAACAGTGGCCTGATCCCGTGGCTACTTGACATCGGGTGGTCAGGGAAGGCCTTGAATGCCAGGAGCAGCGGCCATGGGAAGAGCGAGGGGCTGCGGGCAGCGGGAGTGGCACGTGCAAAAGCCCTGAGGTGGGAGGTCCGGGAACAGCAAGGGAGGCCGGCGCGGCTGCAGTGGGGTGAGCAGGGGGAGAGTGGTAAGAGGTGAGGTCTGAGCGGTCCACGAAGGCCGACCATGAACTGGGAGGAGTTTGGATTTTATTCCAAGACAGCTGGGAAATGCTTTCTTTCAAGCCCCATTTCCAAGCGCAGAGTTAGAAACACCACCAGAGCAGCCAAGAGCTGTACCCGAGGGGGCGTCAAATTCCCCACTTAATCGCTCCCTTAACCCCTTCCTGGCAGGTGCCTGGGTGTCTTGGTAAGCCTCTGACTCTTGACAAAAAGGCCAGGGTTCGAACCCCAGGCCTGCCCCTGTTCTGGGCACGGCCTCTCGCTGTCCCCCTGGGCCTCAGCCATCTGGTCCGCACCAGCGCGCCAGCGGAGACCCACTTTTCTCAGCTAGAATCTGAGGTCTCCACGACCCCCGCCCCGCCCCGCCCCGTCGCCCGCCACTCAGACTCTTCGTGGCTCTCCATTGGTCGCACATGCTGCCTCCACCCTCGCATCCGCGTCCCGCCCACCCGGGCCGAGCAGCCCAATCGGTGCTCACGAATTCTGCCCCGCCCCCCATTCAACCAATCCTCACGCCCCGCTGTTTCCCTTGGCGGAGGCACCGCACGGGCAAGGCTGTCAGTTCTGAGAGCATGATTGGCCCGCAACGGCCCATCAAGGGCGGGAGGAGAGGGGCCAAAGACAGCGGCGCGTGTGGATTGGCCAGAAGGAAACGGGGGCGGAGCTTGGCGAGCATCGATTGGGTGGCTCGTCCTGGGTGGGCGGGACGCGGACGGTGCCAGGAACTGGCCACGTGCCGCTATAGAGTCAAACGGTGACCCTGCCAGGGAACCCGGCGGGAGGGCCTAAGCGGAGGAAGTCCGAGCGCCCAGAGGTGAGTGTCCCCCGGGCCCCACCTGCGGAGGGGCCGGCCTGGGCTCGAACCTGGCACTTCCGGGTAAGTCCCGTTGCTACCCACGCTGCTTGGAGACCGACCTTCCCGCCTCGCAAATGGGGAAACTGAGGCTCTGCCCAGGCGTCCCGGGCCAAGATCACACAGCCAGAATTGGCTGGCCAGGGACTCGAACCGTCCCCCGGGCGCGCCCACCGCCTCTGTATCGTATCAGCCCTGAGGGTTAGTCTCCGTTTCTCTGAGGAGGAAACTGAGGCTTAGACAGAGACTGAGTTGCCCAAGGTCACACAACCAGAAAGTCGGGGCTCCAGGTCTGGGTCCCCCGACCAGATGGAGAAATAACCAATCCTACATCCCTTCCCCAGGTTGCCGCCCACCTCCAGCCACGCCTCCTTTGGCCTTGGGCACCCTCCACCCAGGACTGAACCTTCCCTTCACTCCCTATGAGGGCCCCAAACCGGTCTCCAGCCCAGAGCTCCCTCCACGTCTCGTACACACACCCCTTCCCCCCCACATACACTCTCGCTTAAGGTTTTCATGTTCCCCAAAACCAGTTCCCTCCCCAGGTTCCCCAGTCTTCAGGTCATGCCCCTCACTGCACCAGAAGCCTGAGGGGCATCCTCTTCCCCTTACCTCCGACCCCACTGCCCTCCCCACAGTTTCTCTGTCCTGCCCCCTCCCGTCTGTCTCCCCTGTCCGGGTGGACCTTAGCCCCAGCCTCCTCTCTGGACTCCGCCTCCAGGCCAGCCCCACCTGATATTTTTTTTTTTTTTTTTTTGGTTTCTGCTAGCTTTTATTTGAGAAAATTTACACAAAGATCCCCAATTCAACATTTACAAGTAAATCTGTATAAATCCCACATGCCTGTTTCCATTAAACAGAAAAATGGCTTTATGACAGGGGTACATGATAATGGTAAAACAAAACTTACTTCAACTGTATCATTCTCATTTATATTATACATAGCATTTTGAATAATATGCTCAATAATGGAGGAAAGCAGATATCTGCTGCAGATATCAGATATCTCGGATATCAACACATTGTATCTGCTGTGTTGAAACCCTTTCATGGAAGCGTAGCACACAGAGGACACAGTGAAAATCATCTCCTTCCCAGCGATCTAATTCACCCACTGGAGTCTCCGTTCCTGGTGTGTTTG